TATGTATTTACCCCAATCTCTACTTTAACAAAACTTGACTCTCTGCCTTACTCCACACGAAACGACAATATGACAATTTGCTTTAGTAAAAAACCACTAAAAAGCGAAATCAAAAATTTAAATACCAAAAAAGCTCCAGGCTACGACCTAATTACAGCGAAAATGCTGAAAGAGATCCCACAAATCGCCAAAGACCAACTACTTTTTATTTATAACGCTATTTTAAGGACTGCATATTTTCCAAACGACTGGAAGCTATCCAAAATCATGATGATACCCAAGCCCGGAAAGGACCCCGCTCAAGTCACCTCATATAGACCCATAAGTCTGCTTCCAATTCTTTCAAAATTATTTGAAAAACTTTTTATAAAACAACTAATGCCATATATAAATAAGAAAAGAATAATACCTAACCACCAATTTGGATTTAGAGAAAAACACAACACAATAGAACAAGTACACCGCATAGTACGAGTAATTAAGGAAACGTTTGAGAAGAGGCAGTATTGTTCAGGCGTCTTTCTAGACATAACCCAAGCCTTTGACATAGTTTGGCATGAAGGATTGTTCTGGAAACTTGAGAAACATTTACCATACAATATATCCTCAGTTATCAAAAACTACCTCTCAAATAGAAGATTTGTTATAAAACAAAATTCTTTTGTCTCCAATGCCTTCCCCATTATGGCCGGTGTACCCCAAGGTAGTGTTCTGGGCCCCTTGCTGTACCTGATTTTCACAGCAGACATGCCAACCAGTGACTGTACAACAACATCAACATTTGCGGACGACACTGCCATTCTCAGCCAGAGTGACGACCCATTCACAGCCACAAAATCAGTTCAAGACCACCTCAACAAACTGAAAAATGGCTCGATCTCTGGAGAATAAAAATTAACGAATCGAAAAATATACACATAACCTTCACTCTACGACGAGATACCTGCCCTGCCCTTCGTATTAATGGAAAAGTAATACCACAATGCAATGACACAAAATACTTAGGAATGCACCTCGACCGAAGGCTTACGTGGAAAAAGCATATAGAAACCAAAGTAACCAAATTAAACTCAAACAACAAGAACTAAACTGGCTAATAAACAAAAATTCTAAACTTAATCTCACCTATAAAGTGCAACTTTACAACACAATGATGAAACCCATATGGACCTACGGAATTGAACTCTGGAGCTCTGCTTCTCCATCAAACATTGAAAAACTTCAAAGAACTCAATCAAAAATCCTCCGGCAAATAGTCGGTGCCCCCTGGTATATAAAAAACGCAAATATTCATAGAGATCTTCAAATTGACACACTCACAGATGTAATTACCAGCAACACACAAAAGTACAAAATCAAACTCAGGAATCATCAAAATCCACTTGCAAGCAACCTTACCCAAAGCGCTGGTACACAGCGACTCAAAAAAAACTATATAAACCCGGCTATTCAAGAATAACGCCCGACATGGTAACGAAATTGGACGAAGCTTTGGCTAAGGACAATTAATTATCTATTTTTCTTTTTTCAAATATTTTAATACAGCAATTAGCAGCGAAAATTTATTGTTAGTTCTAAATTGATTTTTAGAAGATTCAATAAAAATCAAAATAAAATTCAAAAAAAAA